GTTAACAAATGAACCATTCTTTTTCCTAAATATTTTTTAATATCCTTCGTTTAAATTTGTAGTGTCGTTTTTTATTATTTATGCGAGTAAAAATTCATTTTCAGTTCACGTTCGTGATACACTGCTCGCGAAAAAAAATTGCAACATCTGAAAAACGCTAATCTGAAATTTGCATACTGTGTATTGAGAGGGAAAAATCATGAAAATTTGGTTAAAAAAGAGTAGAAAGACACATGTGATTTCCGGATTTGTGCAATCGCAATTTCTAGGTGTTGCAATTTTTTTGGCCAGCAGTGTACATAAATTTAGTAATGAAGAGGTTCTTGAAATTACACTTTACCTCTGTGCAATTTAAATCTCCCCAACTTAACAATCTTAGATTAAATTAAAAAGTAGTTTACTATCTAGCAGAATTTATAGAAAATTGCTATTGACCCCCGCAGCACATTCAAGGAGATTGTGTTCAATCATAGTCAGACAAGTGGTATATACCAAACTCTTGGAAGAATTCAAACCACTGTATCTCTGTTTCTAATTGAGATAGCGACAAAAGCCAAACGGCGTTTTACTCGTTAGATGAAGACGAATCCAACGCGCCCCTCAAATTATTTTCTATACTTTCTCTGAATTTTTCGTGACAACGCTCCACCGCAGAAAACTTATATCCGCCCACGTTCACCTTAACAGGTTAACTGCCACGTTGGTCACCTGTGACCAGAGATTGTTTCCACGGAATAATTCAACTAAAAATTTCGAACACCATAGCTAACTAGACATTATTTTGAATTAAAAAAACTTTGGAAGTGACGTGGTGCAGATGATTACTCGCAAAGTGGGTAACAAAAATATATTTATTTAAACGTAATGCTTAAACTAATTTCAAATGTAAGCTATATGATGAGCGTGCAGAGGTCTACGACAAAAGGCCTCGTGCCTGTTTCGGGGCTCCCTTAAGTAGCCCCTTTTCCCTGGGAAAGTCGAGGCAATACTCTTGTCCTCGAGGACGAAGAAACTCGGAAAACCATCTCTCGATTCTTCGCCTCGAGGGCCAAGAGTCGCCAGGCCTGAGTGCGTGGCGATCGCCACAAAACAAATAATAAAGCATAATATAACACTATGCTCAGAGTAACGAAAATTTTCTTCTGGTCCCCTGAGCAAAACATGTAAATTTGGCGTGACAGTCAGCGCGTTAAACAAATTTATTTGAACTACAAAAGGACGAGTGTCGATCACTCACTTTGGCGCGAAAATTTAAAAAAATTCAAGAATTCAAGTAAACCACTTTGGCCTGCGAGCCGCAAGGTCGAAATTGAATAAAAATGAGAAAGTAAAGATCAACGTGAACACGTGTACAGTGTTAGAAACGTCCACAGTTGCTGTTAACTGCCATACGCGAAGCGCGGGCGTAGCATTCTGATAAGGAGGCCATTCTCGGTCGAGGACGCGAAATTCATTCCTGCCGGGTTTCGACATAAGCGTGGCGAGTGTATTTGCGATCGAGACACGCCGCGCGGTGCAATTAGCCTGTTGCACGCTGGAAGTCTGGCAGGGCGTCGGGGCAAAAAGCCAGGGAAACCGGCAAAAAGAGAAGCTGCAGAGCCGCGTGGCTTTCGTAATCTAGTCAGGGAGGACGTTGGTTCTCGGTCAGTGAACGTAACGGTGTTGAAGGTGTGTACACACTGGCAGTGCCCTTTTACAAACGGCGGCGAACTGTATTGATCAAGCCAATGGATCAACCGGACGGATCGATGGTGACGGTGTCGGGAATTTTCCTCCGGGATCTCGGACATTATCATATCTAATTGAAATGTTCGCCGGATAAAAGTCGACGCAATATGTAACTGTCGTTAATTCGACGTGTTGTCGATCACCGGCCGCAGGTTGATCGAGAGGATCGGTTATAACGGGTGTTCAATCTAACGTGACACTAGGGAGAAGTTTTGGAAGGTGAAACTGGGTTCTTTCGAACCGTTCCTTGGACGGAATGAAATTTGGACAATTTTCTTATCCGTAGGCGTTTAGAGTGGAGCGTTATTTATTGCGAGATTAATATCGAAAAGGATCCATATTGAAAAGGTGTACGTGCAGAAAATAAAGCTGGAAAGTTGCAAATGATACCACAAGTTCAGTATTTCCTTCTCGAATCGATCATTTTTGGGGATTAATCATTGTCGAATATATGTGCTATTCATTTCAACTTACGTTAGTATTATTTCAAATTTTATATTCTAGAAAGCGAAACTTCGGTTGGAAAAATTGCATTCTCCGTTTTGCCTGTACAAACGTTCTCGCGAAGAATCACACTTTCTCCTCTAGAATTGTCATTTTATAGGACACCCTGTGCACCGATGGTTGATGACATTCGGTAGAAGTAGGAATTTCCAGTGTACTGTTGATGCGTACGGATTGCGCAAGTGTTTATGATTTATTCAGTAATCGTGACGAAACGCCTGAATTTTAGCTATGCACTCGTAGAAAATTGTACTAATTAGTTGTTAAGTAATGAATTTAAATTACGTTGCTATCAGCTTGTAGTTACTGGTGAAATTTGCGAAATTGATAAGAATTTGTGATTAGACATTTCGCTCGTGCTCGTTAATGTAGTATTTAGTAATTTAACTGTCTTCTCTTTATTAGTGTATTCGTACACGTTCATCAGCAGAAACATTCTGTTTCATGATACGTAAAACTAGTTCTTATTGCTTCAAACTTTCCTTAAGACTTCTTGTAATATTCGTAAATAAAGCTATCATTAAACAATGATAAAAGGTTTTCTCTAATGGACATTCGTCGTCCCAAAGTATACTTCAAAATTTGAAAATCAATTGGTAGAATGTGCTTCAGAATAATAATAAGGTCCAATGTCTCTGCACTTATTTCCGAAGCAGCATCTTTTATTCCCCTTCGATCCTGTTTCCATTCTTCCAGCATCTTCTTTTATTCCGTTTCTTTTTTTGCCCCGTTCGATTGCACAGTGTCGATATTCTCCAACTTTCTACGGCATTCCCAATTCCGCCTCCTCTCCTCTAAAACCTGATCCCATCTCCGCCGATTACCGTAATATCCAGCTACATAACTCGCATAATACCGACAAAAACCCAACTGCAAATTCCTCGCAACATCGCGTCTCGCTATCCTCGGCTCCGCTTCATTGATCTCTCCGCAGAAGAAAAATTGACGAAACAATGAAATCTCCGTTTTAAGAAGAGCATCTGACAGCTAGGATTACGGTTCACCGCTAGAGCGGAGAGTAACGTGTTCGATAATAGCGTTTTGAAGAAGGAGAGACGCGAAGACGTAACGCTGTTGCAGGACTCGTTAGTCGAAGTCCTGCGTTCTAGTCTGTTAGAAAGCACGACTCGATTGGTCGGCTCTCGTCGAGGAGGAATCGTTGTCTGTCGAATGTTAAGAATAGAGGAATAAGTGGAGGAGGATTGGCATCCTCGTCGTGGATTCTCCGCGTCGATCGTGATTGCGCGACTACGTGACCCGACTCGCTTTCCTTCGTATCGACTCATAGAAACGTGGTAAATTGTTTAATCGGGGTAATTGGACGAAGTGTCTGGCCGGTGGTTTGTAGGATTAGAGTGATTTAGGGAGGTGTTACATCTGGGTGGACGTGGACAGGTTTTTCAGTGGAATTTTCGGATCGATGGGGAGGAATTTCTGTTGTGATTGTATGTTAATATTGGGTTGGTGCATTCGAAACGTGCATACACTGTGTTTCTTCGGGAAAGGATAATTTACATTTTCAGCAACGATCGACTAGTTTCGTTGTTCCAAATTTGTGAAAATTAGTCTTTGAATGAAAAAATTCTTCAAGTTTCTCCATTTCGAGTTTGTTGAAAAATTGCTCGGGTGCTCGAAGAAATGGTAGTTTTTTGGGGAGAGGTCGAAGGAATAGACGAGGATGTGGCAAAATTTCGTATTCTATTTCCCAACGATTAACTAGCTTCGTTATTCGAGAAGAGAGATGGAAGAGGACTGGGCCAAAGAAAGGTGCGATAGCGAAGTTAAAATGTAATAAGGACAGGGAGAAGATAGAAATCAAGGTAGGATGATAAAAATAAATAAATAAAGATAATTAGTGTAATATAATAGAAGTTAAGATTAGTAAGGTAAGGTAGATGTAAAATATTGTAAATAGCTGGAAGTCATAGTAAATAAAAAAAAAAAATAAACTAGCTTCGTTATTCCAAATTTATGAAAATTGTTAGACTTTGAGTGAAAAAATTCTTCAAATTTCTCCATTTCGAGTCAATTTGTTGAGAAATTGTTCAGGTGTTCGAAGAAATGGTAGTTTTTTGGGGGAGAGGTCGAATGAGTAGGTTCTCTCGTTTTTCCTGCAATAACACTTTGCAGGTAAATGGTAAAAATAGGAAGAGTCGTATTTTAGACGGGATATTTGAATTTTGGATAGAACGTTCGTTGATAGTTGGGCAAATGTGAAGTGATGTCGTTGAAACTTGGGAAAACTGCGTATAGATTGGAGATAGAGAAAATCAGTATAAAAACATAGTCCAGATAAAAACGTTGCAACGATTGACAGAGTAGATATTGCAGTTGTTACGTTTACTCATATCGATGATTGTGAATTCGTCTAGTGTTCTCCAAACTCGATACTGATGAATTCCCCCACGATACGCCGAATGAATCCAATCTCCGCTGAAATTGAACAATCTCGACGCCCATGTCACGGTACGCTAGCACGTATTCTGGCTCCTGCACCGTTGTTTATAGCAGAAAACTATTTCAGACACTTCGATGACAATTTTGTACCTTTTTTTGTCATCAGACTTTGCATATGGAAATATCACAAATTTAACGTACAGTGAAAGTAAAGAGTATTCGTAGACCCTATAAAACGGAATAACTTTTTTAAAATTGGGCCAAACGATTTGAGTTTTTTTGAAAAGTTAGAAGGATTAGTGCCACCATCAACCTTTACTATCCTTCAACGTCGTTGCTTCTCGCAACTAACGTCTTGATTAATGTTTCAGATGAGCTGTAACTGTCCATTAACCCCTTCAACTGGACCGACTCTAGCGTCGACATGCGGTGGTTCATCCTTCATGCTCTTCATGGGCCTTCTAGAAGTGTTTCTCCGTAGCCAGTGCGACCTCGAGGATCCGTGCAACAGGCCTCTACCACCTTCTAGCGTTAATTCCAGGTGACGTAGATGAAACTTGTCCTTGGCCATTTTTAAGTCACGATTCTAATGAATCAGGAATTAGTTATGAGGAATCAATTATAATCGCTATGTATATACCCACGTAAAAGGTACTGTTTCGGTACACGATCAGTCATTTTGACTATTTGAAGAGGAGGCGAAAAAGTGGGACGTGAAAATTGCTCTTCGATCACTGATAATGTCGATTCGAAGCTAAAGTTAAGGAAAGTTACTTCGAAACAAGCTTCTCTGACTTACTCAAAGTTAATTCCAAATAAGCTTCTTCGACTTAAGCAAAGTTAATTCCAAATAAGCTTCTTTGTTTCATTAAAGTGCCTTTATTTCAAATTTAGCAATACTTCTTTCGAATTTCTTATCGAATTAGCGATACCTCTTTTCCGAATTTTTTGGACACCGAAAGGCGAAAACTAAAAATCGCGTGAAAATCACTTTGAAAAAGTGAAAAGTGTATATTGCCAGAAAACTTAATTTTCTGTGACATTTTTGCGCAGAGTGCACTCTATTCTAATACCTTATTTCGCAAAATACACACTATATCCTCCTCTCCCTGCAGCCCTAAGTCTGCTAAAAATAAAAATAGACACCAGAAATAAACGAGTCTACTACTCTCGTGAATCAACAAATATGCAAAGTTCGAAAGAAATTGAAGGCGGGTAATTTCGTAAGGTTACTGAATGAACTCTTTTCTTGATCACGCAGGGTCCACATCGTGGACTGGTCCTCCGTGCGGAGAATTAACGTTCGAATAGGGAGCACACACCGACAGGCTCGTCGTGAGGTTTGAATTTAGAGAGGTTAATGAATATAAAATCGATCATCGTATCCCGGCTGTCCATTTTCATTTTGTTTCGTGACATTTTCGAGAGCAGCTCCGGTACCTTGTTTGGCTCGCATGCAAATACAGGCGGATTTGTATTTCATTTTCTACGCCCGGTTTCGCCTCGCATCTCTTTGTCAATTTTAAACTGATATCTGTTTGCACGGATGTGGTCTTCAATTGGATCGTATTCATACCCCGCGTATACATATTTACGTTGTTGAATTACATTTATGGAGTTGACATCGTTCCGCGGAGATTTTTCGAAACAGGTTGCGCTGCTGGGGAAAAGTTTCGTTCGAAATAATAAACGGGGAGCGTTGTGCAACGCGATTTCATGTGTAATTTATTTTAATTTATTTGAAGAATTTTCATATTAGAATATCACCGACGGTTTTATTCCGATCGCGATTACATTTTACTCGATATTGCTACATTATATCAATATTAACGAAACTGGTCGGTGTTTCTTCGTATAAGGAAAAACAGCAGAATCGTGTGCGGAAAAATATCACAGTATAGTACTAACTATCGTCATTCAACGATATAAGAAAAAAAAAAAAACTGTCCAAACTGAAATTAACATCATCAGACTGAATCGTTACTTCTTTTTATGTTATTCAATATTAGCTCCAGTACTTTTTTGTTCTTCTAATAAATTATTTTTTCTCAGCTCTAGTTTGATATTCTAGTTTCATTAGTTAACTAATTCTGTGATTTTTATTTTTAGGTGAATTTCTTCCTAATTTCTGAATATCGACGTTGCAATAATACAGATTTAGGCCTTTCGAGGATGTAATGTATTCATGTATATTTCTATTTCCACTGAGTTAGTTCGTTCATAAATTATTCGTTTCATTGGAAATAGAAATATACGGGAATATATTCTTGAAAAGTGTAAATCCGTATTATTGCGCGTGTCGATATTCAGAAATTAACAGAAATTGACGTTAACGACAAACTTCACCGCTGCATTAATATTACATACACTATCGTGTATAAATACCTGCATTCAGAAACATAAGAAATTTTGTTTAAAAACTATTTCCTTGTCATAGTAAGTCCTTATACTTCACCAGTGCATTAATATTACAGTAAATTCTCTACAAGTGTCAGTCAGTTTGGATTCTACAAGTGTCAGTATAGATGGTCCTACGTCTAGGCTGCGTCATTGCTGCGCCTATGTTATCTCGCTCGCTGTCAGTCAGTCGTGTAACGCTACACCACTCGGTTTCTTTTACGAGATTTCATCGACAATTCATAATAGAAAAAAGTCGTGTAACGCTACACCATTCGGTTTCTTTTACGAGATTTCACGGCTCGACAATTCATAATAGAAAAATATAATTTCTTTAATTTACTTTTTTTCATCTGGAATTTCTTTTAACATGTTGGTGAGATTTTTCTGATGGAAATAATATCAAACACGACATAATTTGAACAACATTTACTTATTGAGTAATTAATTTAATGTCGGCCTACCTCCACGTAAAAAAAAATGTAGGGCCGATTCTACAAGTGTCAGTCAAATGTAGGGCCGATTCTACAAGTGTCAGTCAAATGTAGGGCCGATTCTACAAGTGTCAGTCAAAAAAATTTCGGGATAAAAAAACGTAAAATTAAAAAAGTTGGTATTTAAATCGCTTGGTTGCCTCGACTCACGTTTCATCCTTATCTTTTATTCGCTGTCCTTGTCTACGTTCGGCAAACTACAAAGGCGGGCGCGAGGCTCGAAAACGTATTCCCTGACTCTACAAGTGTCAGGTTCCTTGCGGACTGACACTTGTGGAGAATTTACTGTATATGCAATCTCACTATAAGTATCTGCATTGAAAAACCTGATAAATTTTTTTTTTAATTATTTCCTTTTCATAGTAAGTCCACTTTATAGTTCATCACTACATTAATATTATGTACACTATTACTATGAGAGTCTGCATTCAAAAATCTAAGAAATTTTTTTGAAGATCCATTTCCTCCATGTAACATTATAACAAGTTGGTCCTTAAAACAGTTCTTCCTAAGAAACGCATAATTCATATAACAAAAGTCCACAATAGAGGACATCAGAAGCTTCCATATATCCACAATTTCAGGATATTCATAACTTCCACTCCGCTCTCTCTTCCCTCTGACATCGTCATTTTTTCCCACCAAACTTCCGCATATGCCCCATAAATCCTTCCTGTTCCCTGTACGCTACCGCTCCGTTTCATTAGACTTCCAACGAGGCAGCAGAGCAAATCGTAGGAGAATCCGGAAGAATCTTGACGAGCATCGAACCAGTGAAATTATTCGAACATAGGGAGAGAGAGAGGATCCTGAACAATTTCACGGATCGGTTGAACGACACCGACGAACAAGTCGGTTCTTAATTGTCGCGGATACGGTTCACGTAACGCCTTAGAAACTCGTCCGTTGTCTCTGTCTCTCGGAAGCGAGCATCCATGCATGCCTATCCGTGAAATTCACTCCTGTATATACGTGCATGTGTGTGTATGCGTGCGTGTATCCACGTGTAATGGCCCGGCACCATTGTTCTGATGATTCTCCCACGTTGCATCACGCCTAGCCCCGTGGATCTGCGCTTGCACTTATGCCGGATGTAGACTGAGGCAACGACCAGCTTCGACTATTAGATCTTCCGTGCCACCTTAGACAGCCGTGAATCCGTGGCATGAGTTATGGGTAATTGGGTGAAATTGAAAGTGCTCCGTCAGGAACCAGGCTTTCGGTTAGGTGTGAAAGGTGGGGTTGACGGTGTGTCTGCCAGCTTTTCGTAGAGACATCGAGGTGTGACAGGGAGAGATTAGGCGTGGAGGATTAGGAGAATGGAAGAAGCGTGACGGAGAAGAGTGTTTAGGTTGGAGGTTGCGTGGATGGAAGTTGAGCGATGCTGTTTTCGAATTGATTTGGAAGTACGTGTACATTGATATACCGTAAGTGGGATTTATAGGGATAAATTATGCATTCGTACTGTCCATCCATTATACATGGAGTTCGGTAATAATTGGTGGAAAATTTAGGAAGAGATTCTACAAGTCGAAATAAGACGAAAATCGAGGATGATAAAATTGCATTTGAGGCTTCGTTCTTTAGTTATTGATAGTTGAAAATTGGGTAAAATGTGCCTGGGACCCTGCAACTTTTCCTACACCAGCGAATGTAGGGCAGCGTAAGACACAAAGGGCAAAAATTATGAGAAAGGAAAATGTAACGTGATATTCGATAACTCTGAAGCATTATTTCTGAAAATTGAACTTCTGATTTTTTTTTTTTTAAGAAAATAATTATTATTACCTAACCTACACTCAACTTCGATATAATTTCACGAGGACCGTTCAAAAATTCCATAAAGTCGATAAAAAAGTGCATTTCAATATAAAAATTCCTCCTACTCAAAGCGCAAACACATTTTACCCACAACTGAACTTCATTCTTCCAAAAATCTCCAAATCTAAACGCCACAATTTCGAACCGAGAATTAAACAAACTTCGCTCCCACGTAGGTACATTTTTACTTCTCCACTCGCGATGTAACTTCAGAAGCTACGCGAAAATTCTTTTCAATCCCGTACGAGTACCCGGGGAATAATTTCACACCCTTCGAAACCAACTACTTATTCCCAAAGACCGAGTGTATGTGGTAATCCGCCGGATCGGTTATATCATCGGCCAAAGAACGATTTCATAATTTCGATTTAAATACTCCTGTTACGCACGCTCGATTCCCTCGGTGTCCGCAACTGTTCGCCAAGTCATTATTACCTCTCCGCGATCCGTACAAAACACGCACACCATTAACACTATCCGTACACGAAATCATCATGTAGTACGAGTATTGTTTCATTGAACTTCTTTTGCGTCACTGCTGCGTGTTGCTCAGTATACAGGATATGCAGTAACGGCTAGGGATGAACCGTCATTAACCGATTTCTCGGGAGATACACTGTTTTCATCGGTTCATATGCATTTAATTAGCTCGTTTTCGCGTTTCTCATGCGTGCCGTCTGTTACACAACACTCCAGTTCTGTGCATAATTCGACACGGAGTGACACGACTCGACGCAACGGTCTCCTTCTTTTTTTTTTTTCTTTTTTCACTTCGATCGCCGCGCGTCGCGTCATGGATCGCTAATTGGAGGCTGACGAAACAGCATTGCTGATAATTAGAGGTGATTAATGGAGATATCGATAGAGTAATTTCTCTATCGATGCACGATTTGTGAAACTGTGTTCAACGTACGATTAATTCCTTCGTTCTGTTACTGGATCGAGTGTATCCTATATCGGGGCCGATATTCACGGGGACAGTTTGATTTGTTAGAATTTGTAGAGACTTAGGAGAAAGCGAGAAGAAATGTCTCTCCTGTGGAAAAGTTTGGTTGAGCAAGAAAGCGAAGTCAGCGTGGAGAAATGAATAATGGCTCGTGAATTTTATGTTTTACGACTGGTGTGGTTGGGAAAAAAAAAATGAAAAGGATGGGTTGAGAAGCGAGAGTGAAGTAACGAGTAAGAAATGGGGCTTCGTAGACGTCAATCTCTTACATAAATGGGTTAAAACTGCCTCGTGATTGATTAACATTGTTACAAAGATTATGGCGATGTAGCCTGTGGACAATGAGTGTTAATATTGTCGAAGTATTATTCCAGTAGAATGAAAGTAACTTTGGAACGTGTTATAATGATTAAGAAACATTTTTATATCGTCGAATTTTGTTATAAAGAATTACAGTATCGCAGGAATGAAAAATTTGCAGAAAGATGCTTGTAAAAGTGAATATTGTAAAGAATTTAATTTAGAGCCCTAAAAAACGAAAGAAAAATTTGCAGAAATATTTATAGAAAAAAGGGGAGAAAAATATTTGCAGAAGTATTGATAAAAGTAAATATTGCAACGAATTGAATTTAGGAGGTTAAAGAAATTTTGCAAAAATAAATTACAGTAAACAAAATTTTGTGGTACTATTAATGTATTCAATTATGTTTCTTAAGTCTGTAAAATTTCGTATTAGACTGTCTCGTATTGTCTAGATGTCTGTATCCATTGTTAGAAAGGTCCAGACACCTGATAAGAAGCGAAGGCTTTGTGAAACATTCACAAGCACAGTCGAAAACTAGTTTCACGGGGAAAAAAAAGTTTCTCTACAGTTTAAGTAACTGGTTCTGAAAACGATCTTATTTCCAATGACATTCAAATTTCAGATCGAACCAGCTTGAGTCACGGAGAAAATAGTTGAAAATCAATTGTAAAGAATATTGCCTAGTAAAGTCATATGCAAAGGATAAAACAAAAGTTACCATTTTTTAAGAAACGATAAATGTCACCAAATTCATAGAAGCAATGATTGAAAATACAGCAAAAAGTAATTGTAAAATATATCAAACAACTGTTCTTAAATCGAACAAAAATTAATTGAAAATAAATTACAAAGAAAATTTTGAAGAATATTCCATAGTAAAGTTACCATTTTTTAAGGAACAATAAATGTCACGAAATGCGTTAAAATACAGCAAAAGATATCAAGCAACTGTTCTCAAATCAAACAAAAATTAGTTGAAAGTAAATTACAAAGAAAATTTTGAAGAATATTCCATAGTAAAGTTACCATTTTTTAAGGAACAATAAATGCCACGAAATGCGTTAAAATACAGCAAAAGATATCAAGCAACTGTTCTTAAATCAAACAAAAATTAGTTGAAAGTAAATTACAAAGAATATTTTGAAGAATATTCCATAGTAAAGTTACCATTTTTTAAGGAACAATAAATGTCACGAAATGCGTTAAATCGAACAAAAATTAGTTGAAAGTAAATTACAAAGAAAATTTTGAAGAATATTCCATAGTAAAGGTACCATTTTTTAAGGAATAATAAATGTCACAAAATGCGTTAAAATACAGCAAAAAATGTCATAAAAGATATCAAGCAACTGTTCTTAAATCAAACAAAAATTAATTGAAAATAAATTACAAAGAAAATTTTGAAGAATATTCCATAGTAAAGGTACCATTTTTTAAGGAACAATAAATGTCACGAAATGCGTTAAAATGCAGCAAAAGATATCAAGCAACTGTTCTTAAATCAAACAAATATTAGTTGAAAATAAATTACAAAGAAAATTTTGAAGAATATTCCATAGTAAAGGTACCATTTTTTAAGGAACAGTAAATGTCACGAAATGCATTAAAACGATGATTAAAAATACCGTAAAAAAAGGAACCGATAAAATACATCGGGCAGGAATTATTAAGTTAAACTCGAGTCGCATAAACGTCATGTAAAGTATCTCGTAAAAGTTTAAGGCCGTTTTTCTAAACCACTAAAACGCTGCTTCTTCCGTTCAAGTAGAAACGATCACTTCGGCAACCTGCTGGTCACTTGAAAAAAAAAAAAAAATTGCAATAAAAGACACACCGGCGTTTCGGGCCCACATTTCAGCGTGCAAACTTGTCGTCCCTCAACCGGGCAGGTAAGTATATACATTTCACAAAGTGCATGCGCCTCGTGGCATTCAAAATACCATTACCACTTGACGCGAGCGTCCCCAACGAACTCCCGAGAAATCCACCTTTCGCTTGGCTCAACCGTTACCTAGGATTCTCGTTCCTTCATATACACTATAACCCAGTTTCTAATTCATAAGACCGGCGATCTGGAGTGCGTATATACATGTCGAGATGCGTCTAGTTTGATCGTCGAGAGAACGGGGAATAACAGAGGAGACTGACACGTGGAAAAAAGTGAAATCATAACCTTGTTCGCGGTAACAGCTTGCGTTTCGTAAGAAATAGGGCTAACACGTGAAAATTACCACTGAACTCTGAGAAACGTGACTTTGACGAATATATTACGCAATATGGCTTACTTTCGAGCAGCTTTTTTGTTGGCGTTGTATGGGTTGTATTGGGTTTGCAGATGGTATTAACTATTAGGCTGTTTTAAGTACACTATAACGAAGGAATCTCAAGATACCGAAGATTCGAAGAATTTGAAAAGCTGAGGAGGTGTTGTTCCGGGAATACGAGAATATGGGGAGTTTAAATTAAAAATTTCGAAGATCCAACGAACTCGAAGAGCTAGAGACCACAAATTTGAAGGACTGGAAGATTCAAGGACCTCAAATTTTGAGAACCCGAGGCTTTAAAGATTTCATGAAATTTGCCGAGATTTTGGATACCTCCGGTACCCTTGGAACCTCTGATTTCCCTAGATAGCACTCTCCACATGCATGAAATCTCCAAAAACCAAGTGCAGCAAAGGTATAGTTGGTGGAAGCGATATACGTACCTAATAAGATCGTGAAATTGATCAAGTGTCAAAGTATTAGTTTCCAGTCTTTAAAATTTAAGGTCTTTGGATCTTCGAGTTCTTGAAATTTCAGATCTTCAAGTCCCCGAGTTCTAGAAATTTGAGCTTGTCGCGTTTTCGAATTTTTCCAATTTAAATTCCTCGTGTTCTCGAGTTCCTGTGATTTCAGTTCCTTGGATTTCAAATTCTCGGAACCTTCAGGATCTTGAGACCCTTCCATTGTAGCACACTTAAAAAATTTGTCTGCCTCTTAGTTCTTAACAGCTGCGAATTAATTTTTATCAACTTTTGTCAATACAATATTGTGCTCCTGCTATCTTCAAAATTTGAAATTTGCCACCTTTCTTATTATCAGCTGCCACGATTCTGAAATTGCCTTGGCAAAATTCATCAGGTTCAAATTTTCCCATATTAAATTCCATGAACTGCAAATCTTCTAACTTGTACATTATTACAACTGGCAATGAGTGACTCTAATCATGTTTCACGAGGCCAAAGTTATTGCATCTGGATACTAACAGTAGCTACCGTATTTTATATAATTTCTGATCTCTGTAAGGTCGTTGCTATTAAGTTCTCCGTACTCCTACGTCTCTGTCCTCCGCAATCAGAACTTCGTAATTTTGTACTTCTTTATCTGTCCTCGTTATGGTAACAGTTACGTAAAATAGTAATTCACCTATGAGGTCACGTTACGGTTTCAGTCTCTTCTTGTCCTTCAGATTTCAAGGATTCTCGAATTGTTCAAAAATACGAAGACGAAAAAGATAATTATCAATGTTGTTTCTCAGGTACGATTTCGTAGTCATCGGAGGGGGTAGCGCTGGTGCAACAGTTGCGGCAAGACTATCCGAAGAGCCAAGATTTTCGGTATTATTGCTGGAAGCTGGCCTGGACGAACCTACTGGGACACAGATACCCTCGTTTTTCTTCAATTTCATCGGGACTGATATCGATTGGCAGTATAACACCGAAAGTGAGGACACGGCGTGTTTGAATAAGGAAGATCGAAAATGTTACTGGCCAAGGGGGAAAGTACGTATAGGAATGTCGAATCATTTTTTAAATAAAAAAATTTCAGCTTTCGTAGTCGAAATTTACAATTATCTTTTACATACTGTTATCAAAAAATTTTTATCATTTACCCAGATAAAGATATCAACTATCCTATTAATTTTTCTGCCAAATTGGCAATAATTTTATTCTAGATATTAATAAAACTTTACCTTGTTACTGAAAAATTCACTTTAGGCTAATTGAAAATCTTGTTAAACGGTGTTTCAAATACATACACCGCTGACTTAGTCGTTTAAAAAATGATAGAATTACAACACCGTAAACTCGTTACTTTTTCAAATGAAAAAATCAAACTTTCGTAATAAAAATTTATAATTACGCTGTGTACAGTGTTAGCTAAGAATTTGTATCGTAAATATTAACATCGACTATCCTGCCCGTCGAATTTTCTATCGATTAGCAATAATTATTCCAGGTCTCGATAAAAATTTACGGTCTCGTTACGGTATATTTCACTGAAAAATTCGTCAGACTAATTCAACATCTGCAAATTTCTTCACCACTTGTCAAACTATTTCTCAAGCACACTCTATTGCTCTAAACATTGCTGAAAATTTACCTTGTCGCAAACTTAATATCAGCAAATTTCTTCCATGCCGTTAATTCGCTCAATTAAAAAACCGCCCAGTTATCGTAAGCCCGTTCCACTTTCAACATCTACCGTTATTCGCTTCTCCGACTCATAATTCACACATAATCGACAACAAACCACATTACCACAAGAATGCCCTCGAAGCGCGTCAACGAGGTACACATTGCCGTGAAGAATAATAACGAAGTGTCAACAAACGAATGCATAATGAAAATGTCATCTAGGTACTGGGTGGTACCAGTGTTATGAACGGCATGATGTATATGAGGGGTTCGCGAAAGGATTACGACGACTGGACTAGGCTTGGCAACGTAGGATGGTCTTATCAAGATGTCCTTCCGTATTTCATCAGGAGCGAGGATAATCTGCAGGCAAACACTATGGATTATGGTTATCACGGTGTCGGTGGACCACTCACGGTCACACAATTTCCTTATCACCCGCCCTTGAGTTACGCTCTCCTTGAGGCTGGAAAAGAACTCGGTAAGGTCTTCTTTGCTCTGCTTTCATTTATCAGAAAATTATCGGTCTAATTGCTGGGTGGTATTTTCTGTAGAACCTAGGCTAACTCTAAACGACAGAGATAAGATTGTGGATACGAACGAAAAATAGGTTAAGTAAAACTTGTCGAACAACGTAAGAATTAGCTGTTGCGCAATGAGAACTTGTCCTTAGTGTTACGCATAACGATTACGTTTGAATTTCAGCTGCCCTATTATCTCGCGGACGTCTTATCTGTCCCTTTTTTCCGCTTCACGGGAACAACGTTGTTTCGTAACGCGTTACGAAAATACTTATAATTTTCGTTGCATCGCGTTTCATTAACTGTATTTAATATTATCGGGGAAAATTGATTTCGCAAATGCTCGAATTAGGGTAGATATGTTCTGCTGGTTTTCCTTTGGTAATAACGCGTTACTCGGTGCATTAGTTTTTGCACGGTGATATTAAATATAGTTAACCCCTTAACATATGATTTCTTTTCCGACAATGCATCTAAGCGTCAGCCATTTTCTGCTTCAGTACTGTGTCAGGTAACAAAAACTAATCTGTCACAGATTAATTACGTTTAGCAATCCTCAGTTTTAAAAATTCAAACGAAAATTAGGATTGCAATGAAGTTTTCTTACTAATATAACTATTTTTCTCACATCTTCGCCAGAATCTCTGCCACGTGTATGACACGTTGTCATATGTTAAGGGGTTAATTGAACAGGAAGAAATGATATTAATAACAGGTGCGGCTCTCGTAAAAATTAATTAAAATTGCCGCTGAATGATAATTACAATTATTTTCGTTCATTTGCCGCTCGTATAATTCCAGCATTTCTCTTGCTCCCTTTCAATTACAAATGCAAGAAATTACATTTTTCGCATTTGCTTTCTCTTCGATTCTTTTCGTCGTTCGAAATAAATTATTAATTAAAAGAAAATATTTGTACGAGAAATAAATTTAATTAGAATAACGTAGAAAATGTTGCATTAGGAACGAATTAAATCACATCCACTTGTCTTCGCACATTTTTGGCTAATCTGATAATGCAAGGACATTTCTAATTGATAAGTATCTCGATGAAAAAATTTAAATTGTCGCTAGCCTTCGTTACTGCGGGAAGGAAAAAATACGAAAGAAAGTTCTGAAAAACTGAAAGTTCTGAATTGCAAGATCGACTTAACAATGCTCGCTCGAGAGGAGCGATAAATATAAAAGGCGGATCGATGTCGTAACGAAGAAAAGTTCGTGGATCTGTGACATTTTTACGTAATATGTGACCACGCCTGTTTCGTTTTACTCTTTTTCGTGCCTCCTTAAAGTTGCGAGATATTCGAGCGCTCTAGATTTACCGCGGCAAACGTGAGTGAACGAGGAAATGGACGATCGCGATTCAAAGTTGTGGTCGAGGATTTTACGTAATGCACGATGCCTCTTAACTGTTTACGCGTGTAATTTCCGGATGATATTAAGCAGCAAAGTTGCGCGATAAAGGAAGAAACGGGTGGATCGAATCGAGGATGCAAATGGCGACGAGATTACCTCAAATGTGACGCTTATGTGTGAAAGTTTGTTTTTCACAAAAATGATCTAACTTCGTGAAACAAACTGTGCAGTTTAAATTGAAAGAGACGCACAATTTTTAATCCCACTTCGTCCCGGTATACGAATTATTGTTAACATTCTGAACAAGAAAGTATTTACAGATTAATGAAGGATTAATTTTTCAAGTTCGGTTTTATTAATTTGGCGTGTTTAATATTTCTGGTCCAGTTCACTTAAGACGAGCAAAAATATTATTATTATTATACCGTGCAGAAAATAATTTGCTCTTAAAACGAGTAAAAATCATAGTTATACTGTGAAAAAAATTCTTTTTATCATTTACAGGTTACAGTACGGCGGATCTGAACGGGCGAACTCACACAGGATTCGCCATAGCACAAACGACCTCGAGAAATGGTTCACGGCTTTCGACGGCCAGGGCATTTCTACGTCCGGCAAGAAATCGGCCTAACCTCCACATAATGCTCAATTCCACGGCCACCAGAGTCCTTTTCGACAATAACAAGAGGGCAGTTGGCGTGGAATTTGTCCACGATGACAAGCTTCACCGCGTCTCTGTGGCGAAGGAAGTGGTCATAAGCGGAGGTACTTGCTTTGATATCGAACAGAGTGTTAACCCATTTGCGGCGTTCAACTGACAGTTGGCCCGTATCACACCGCGTGTGGGTGATACAAAATGTTTAAGGCGGAATATTCCGCGTCCGGTGATAAATGAAAGTCGCGGCTCGCGGGACAGTCCGCGCTTGGTGATAGGTGACGATCGTCATGCGCGGAATATTCCGCTTACGGGTGCAAATGGGTTAATAACGTTAGAGTGAAGTAATCGAGGGGACGAAAATCCACCTACTCGAGGAATTTTTGTCTAGAAAATTTTTCTTAAGGGAAACCTTAAATTGAGTAATTAAATTTGAAACTTTCGAAAACGAAAGATTTTACTCGGCTGGTGCACCCTTAACGAAAGAAAGTGTTGCTCTTTTTTTGCTTATCGTATCACCAGGGCTGTAATTTATTGCACGTTGATATTAAAAACAGGTTTTCGTTTGCAGAGATAAAATATGAGAATAAGTTAGGTGACAGTTAGGAATATTTAAATAATTAGTGTAACGATGATGGAGTAATAACTTTTTGTTTTTAAATGTACAATTACACATACCTTCAAGTAAATTGTACACCTGTTTTGTAGGCAAGATTGTGTCGGTAGTATCGCGTTCGTGAAGTATGTTAATTAGATACATTTTTGTAAAATGCTTGATAAATGGGTATCAATTTAACAAGAACGTTTCACAAGAGTACTTTTTGCGCACCTCGGTGGAGAAATGATACAGGAGAATTCTGTATAGCAAATGAAAGAAACGTTATTTAAGGAAGATGAAAATAGATGTGCATATACAGAGAAAGTGTCTAAAATTTTGTAAATTTTGTTTGAATGTAACGTAAGATTTAACTTCGAAAAGTTTGCAAGCAAACACGTTAGGTATAGCGAAACGAAGAAAAATGTACGCAGTTAAATTTTTCAGACGTGTAAAAAAATGGTGAAAAATGCAAGTGACTTTTAGTAATTCGTTGTATTTGTACATTTACTTCTGTTTAGTGCTACAGTTCAACATCATACATATTTATATCTTTTTTCACACCTCCGAGTGTATAATCTCGACTGACACGCGAAATGATAGCTGTCGATCAACTTTCCAGCACATTGAAAAAGGAAAGCAGGAAGGAATATATATCGTTATCCAGATCAACTATTTCTCAGAGAAAAATACTCATTATAGAAGTGCTTGAATAGCCAATTCCATAATTCCGATTACATTATACCGTACTGAATTCCCGTATACATACATGGAAACCTAATTTTCCACTTCCAATTTCAGCTATCGAACGAACAAACGGTAACTACAGAGCTGCTTTAACAGAATGTTAATATTTTAGAAGTTTCTTACTTCAAATCACTAAACATTCGTTAATTTCAAAAAATCTTTTAATATTCAAGTACTAATAACACTTATTCAAAATTATGACAATATTAAAATAATACTCTTTTAATAGTACTCTCAGATTCCTTAAAAAAATTCATATTTAAAAATTCTTGGTTTCCATAATAATTGCAAATTCTCGTTGAAACAAGTCGCTATATTCCACAACCATAATCACACGTTGATTCTCTCGGGAATGACAAAATTATAACAATATTAAAATAATATTTACTTTTTCAGTGATATTTTCAGTGTCCTCAAAAAATTCATATTTAAAAATTCTTGATTTCCATAATAATTGCAAATTCTCGTTGAAACAAGTCGCTGTATTCCACAACCATAATCACACGTTGATTCTCTCGTGAATGACAAAATTATAACAATATTAAAATAATATTTACTTCTTCAGTGATATTTTCAGTATCCTCAAAAAATTCATATTTATAAAAATTCTTGATTTCCATAATAATTGCAAATTCTCGTTGAAACAAGTCGCTGTATTCCACAACCATAATCACACGTTGATTCTCCCATGAATGATATAATTCACGTGCCCTTCACTGGACAAAGGAATAAAGAACCGCCGCGGAAGGGGACACGCTCGCCTAATTCGTTGCTGATGACTCTTACGGAGGGGCTATTAGTAATTATATCATGAAGAACAACGCTACAAGGTCGTGTAGCTTTAGAATTTTGCCCCGTGGATATATCACCGTGATTTCACGTCGATCGATACCGATGACACGTGTTCCTTTGTCCGAGTTATGGTCGGTGGCTACATCCTGTCTAAAATGTGGTTCGACTTTGTAACGAACTTAATGTACATTCTTATGGAAATTAGTGCTTGTGAAAAATGTTGAGTAACTTTTGCAAATTGCTTTTATCTCTATTTATTACACGAGTATTTTAAATAATTGACCGCATTTATATTCCACTAAATCTCGTGGAAATTAGTGCTCGTGAAAAGAACTGTATAATTTTTGCAAATATTAATTTCAAATTTATCTTTATTCATTATACGGGGGTATTCTAGATCGTTTATCATATTTATTCACATTTATCGTTTCTATTTCAAAAGTAATAACGTTATGCTGTAAGATCTGATGGAAACGTTGTTTATTAAGTCATGCATACTTTTCTAAAATTATTAGAATCGTAGGAAAAATGTCGCTCGACGTTCTTATCGTTTTTTCCATATCTTGCAATCGTGCCTATTAAAATGCAAATGTAGTATTTCTTTCTTTCTTCTTGCTGAAAACGCATCGTCATCTGAATACCTGTAATATTCTTCTATTTATCCTTTTATAGGCGCCGTAAACTCGCCGCAAATGCTTTTGAACAGTGGTATCGGTCCACGAGAGGAACTGAGTGCTGCCGGTGTCCCTGTCGTTCACGATCTACTCGGTGTCGGTAAAAATCTTCACAATCACGTTGCCTACACGTTGACCTTCACTATCAACGACACTGATACGACTCCTCTGAACTGGGCTACCGCTATGGAGTACCTTCTCTTCAGGGATGGTCTGATGTCTGGTACTGGTAAGTGAGAAGAAATTTTTCTTTTATTTTTATCACTTTTCTTCGTGTCTCATTTTGCATATGTATAATCGGCTCGATATTTCGATTAAAATTTGGACTTGTTCTTTCTTTATGATATCTTATCATTTTTTTAGTTTACTTGTCTGGACATACTTTTATGCATCTGTTTTTGCAAATATCGAAATTGTGATCTCGAGGTTTAGCTTTTACTGTTATAAGAAAATTTTGCAATACAAACGACAAAAAGGGGCAGCTCGAAATATTGAAAATTCTCTCTTCCGTGGAGAAAAGATATTCTTGCTTAGCAATAGTGCTACAAATTGTGTTTATATGTAAATTCGAATATACGTCCAGCAATATTTCCTTAACACTCATTTTACTAATTTTATACAATAATTTTTGTAATTTTATTAATTTTAACTTTTGCTGCAAACTCCTAAATTGCACGAAACGATAGCAAATATTTCGATCTAGAAAGTCATATCGTGAGCCTTAAATCGGTACAAGAAGATCTAGAAAAGATCTTGCAATTTTATTAATTTTAACTTTTGCTGCAAGCTCCTAAATTGCACGAAACGATAGCAAATATTTCGATCTAGAAAGTTATATCGTGAGCCTTAAATCAGTGTGTACACGAAGATCTAGAAAAAATCAACACTAACAACACGCTCTACCAAATTCGATAAATTTACAATAATACTGCACGATCGTAAATTGCTTATTCTTCGTTGTTTGCCAGGTATTTCCGAGGTGACCGCCATGATAAACACAAAATACGCGAATCCGAAAGAAGATCATCCTGACGTTCAGTTGATCTTCGCGGGTTACTTGGCGGATTGTGCAGAAACGGGAATGGTGGGCGAAACAAAGGGTGCAAATCGTACAATTTACATTATCCCGACGTACTTACATCCGAAGAGTCGCGGTTACCTTCGCCTGAGGAACAACGATCCGCTTTCTAAGCCGCTGATCTACCCCAAGTATCTGAGCCATCCGGACGACGTGGCCGGCCTTGTCGAGGCTATTAAGTTTGGTATCAAGTTGTCGGAGACCGGGGCTCTCAGCAGGTACGTAGATACCTTCTCTCTGTACAGGTGTAATTTATACTAGGAGTATCGATTTCTTCTGGTCGAACGCTTTTAGCGGAGGTCAATAGCATCGTTGATCAACTATCACGGTTTTCTGATCGAGCGCGGAGAGCAGTGGTCCTTGACGAATATAGTCGGGATTTGAAGTGAATAATTGGTGTATACATACAGTGCGTTCGTTTCGAAGATCTTCTCAATTTTTTCATTATTTACTCGTGACCAATTGTTGAACTTATTTTTGAACAGTGAAATTACCTTTGAGATTTCTTCTTATTTCCGAAATTTTTATGAGAAGTTCGACGTGCGGAAGTTTAGAATGGACGATGATTTAAAGTAACCAATTGTTGATCTTAGTTTCGAGCAGTGGAATGATTTTCGAATTTTTTTTATTTCTGACATTTTTATAAGGAGTTCTAAGGTATTCTGCGATGAATGTGAGCGATGAAATTAATTTATTTCACGTAAATTCACGTTAAGGGTGTCTCGGTAGAATGGACACTTATTCGCAATGGAACGATAATTGAAAAGTCTACGAAGGTTGTGCGATTTTTGATGTCCTACATTGTGACGTGAAGAGAAGACCACAGTGTGATATATCAAAAATCGCACAATTTCAAATTTAACCTTTTCCCCATATCTCGTAGGGTTTCGTAAATATTCACGCTGTTTCCACACCTAAGAAACAAAAAATGGTTTTATTAGTAACGTCAGTTGGGCTACATTTCTGCAAAGTTTCAAATTTTTCCCAAAGTTGCCAAACTTCCTTACCATCGTCTTTATTACCGTGCGGGAATAAGCGCTTATTCTTACAGGTATACAAATTTTCAATTAGAATTCGCGAGAGTGCCCACTATATCGTTCGCTTTCACTTATTATAGAGAAATTAAAATTAATAACATTAAAGAGCGGTAAGCGTTGGCAGCGAAATGCCGATTAATAGGCTTCCCGGTCGGTAAAGTAATTCGACGACATTCTCAACATCGGCAAATTTCTTCTTCTTCTCTTTATCGTGTAGATACGGATTCCAACTGGATCGTACACCGGTGAAAAACTGCGAGCACCTGAAATTCGGCTGCGACGCGTATTGGGAATGCGCCGTGAAACACGACACAGCACCCGAGAATCATCAAGCAGGCTCCTGCAAAATGGGCCCGCCGGACGATCCTCTCGCTGTGGTGGACAATCAGCTTAGGGTGAGAGGAGTGAGGGGCGTCAGAGTGGCTGATACCAGTATCATGCCGATGGTTGTTTCCGGTAACACGAACGCGCCAGCGGTTATGATCGGCGAACGAGCCGCGGACTTCATCAAAAGGACCTGGATCGGCTGAACGAGGCCGTTTCAAACAAAGGAATTTTCTCTGGCATCGAAGTGTCAACCGTTCACTGAAAGAAATTTATAATTGACGACCAATTTTGCGAAATGTTGAACTTGTTAAGTGTAGAAGTTGAGAAAAGTTTGGTTAGGTTTTCACAGATATAGAGGTAGATGGAAAGGTTCGTTTGTACTTTTATTCTGATTTCAATTGTCGAAGTTTATTTCAACGATGAAGTAGAGTTTCATTTTTTTTTTCTTTAAGGAAAGTAATTCGTTCTTCTTTTCTGCCATTGATTGGAGAAATTAAATAGAGGTTTTTTGTTTCAATGGTAAGGATGTAGTTGCAGATATTTTGTTATCGAAAGGTGAATTAGTACGCTTTGAAGATCGAAAGTACGACGAATTTGATTACAAGTTTCTTTCAGTATTTTGAGAAAAAAGGCTAAGGTAGCGCTGTGCGCAGTCGAACAGGGACAATTCTTGTGGAATGGGTGTAGAAAAATGTTTGAAATGTGCAAAATTTTTTTTTCAGGATAAATAAATTAGAAGAATCTCAGATCGTGTATTGTTTTAAATATTATTGTTCCAGCAATGACGGCAGCTACCTCGGCTTTGAACCCTTTTTAATAAGATACCGTAATTTTTAATGAAGTAGCTCTACCATTAAATTGTAATTAATATTGTTATAACGATAGAGAATAATGTAAACCAGATAAAAATAAAATAAGCGTGATATTTCACAATGAAATATTCCAATTTGTAAATCTCAACAGAACATTTATTAACGCCTTTGAAAACTCGTTTACTAGATTAGTATAACACTAAATTGTAGTAATACTCGATAAAATATCCTATATTCACATAGAATCGTCAGAAATTACAAATGAAAAAGGAAAACTATTAAATATTATTAAAATAATTGCAACTTCCATAATTCCGTTACATTAATAATTATTACTGGACTAGATTTACAATTTTTCTTAATAACAATAATACAATAATAATAAAAAATAATTACAAATGTAGTATCGGGGCCTCCATACCCAAATAGGAAACCGACAAAGCAGAATAGAGAGGGGGTAATTGGCGTAGCGCGCAAAGCCTCGGCTTGGTAAGCCCAAGGTCCCGGGTTCGATTCCCCGTTGGTCCATCGATATTTTTCCGTCGTCGGTTCATACACAATTATTCCATATTTACAAGACAAAATGAACTATACAACAATAGTTCTCCAAAAATTGGTGTATTACAGCTGATACGTATGTTTCTTCGACGATCATTGGTGAAATAAAATATACCATTGGAATATCGAAGCGGGGATCGGAATTTCACAGTACCGTTAATTCGAAATTGTTGTTTTAGTTTGGACGTATTCGAAACAGGAAATGAGGCGAATCTAATCAACTTCGAAATGGGCAGTAGTTTCGATAAATCGGCTTACGGTGAAGTTTGCCAGAAAGACCTATTAATTAGAAAGACCACGGTTTCGAGCAACAACTAAAATCGGATAGGTCAACCGTTGTGATTGCATTTGTACATCCTCCTAATTTTCTGTATGTCCCTCTTGCTGAATCCCTCCCGTTGACCCAGTTTAATCCCGACGTTGCCCTGGGAATATTTATCAGCCACGTTAAAGTAGCCGTTTGCTATCTGTAACATTGAAAAATACGATCGATAAACAACGATCCTAAGTACCCGGGCAACCTTGCGCGGTTCATCAGCTTTCAGGCGATGAACAACTCCTTCCTTTTTCGTTTTACTCGTTTCAGCTGAAAGTTTTTTCTTCGTTGACAATTTTTCTTTTTTCTCTTTCGTTGTTTAACATTTGTCAAAAATTCGTTCGAATTCGATTCGAAGGTATTTTGGGTGAGTTTTTTCGTTCGATCGATAGATGAAAAACAGCAAGCTCTTTGGAAATGGAAATCAAGTACTCACTTTGGGTATTATGGTGGGTTTGCCATTCTTCGAAAATGCATACGATGAATAATGCATCACGCTTCCGTAATCGTAACCAATGCCAAAGTCGTTCGTTGTCTCCCTTGAAGCTTTCTCGAAATTACCGTCGTGGTCTAAGAAAAGTCACATCTCGGATCAGTGAAAATTTAGACAAATCTCTAAAATTTCATTTATCACGTTGGATTTAACGTTTAGTTACTAGCGAACTAGTAACTTTTTTCAGTCGTTAAAAGTTAGAAAATTAAATTTTTCAATATTTTTCAAAATGTTTCTAAGAGATATTGCTAAATTGAGTCAAGGAAGTTTCAGAGATCGATCCTTTCAAAATGATTAGCATCCTTCGTTCAGCTAATGTAATTACACACACACCCTTTCATAAATATTCGAACACTTGCCGAATGTGAAACAAACCTAAATAGTCATTGCAAAATTACTAACAAGGAGAGGGCGCGGTCGATGGGAAACGGATTTTTCTTAAAAATATCGAAAGCGAGGCTCGAACCAGCACCTACTGATTACCAGTATTTCACGCTACGTCCTCGGCTGCTAGGCTTGTTGTTCATTCGTTAACGCAAACTCCTTACAACCGAGTAAAGCGATTTTCAAATGCAATTATTTCGGAAAATATCGAGTGTTAAGCACTCGGGTACTAATTTCCGCGTACTTGGAATATTGCACTAGGTGCCGTCTGAAGATTGAATGTATTGCGTTGAGAGTCTGACTGAATCTTTATTATTCCTAATGTAACTGATGGTATGTGTACTAACACTCTGTGGTCTTAAGCTAAATCGGCCTTCTTATCGAGTCGTCCCTTCTCCAAATCTTCGAAAATTTGAAGAAGGGGCGCGAAGGGAGGTTCTTAAAATTACTAAGTGACCAACCCCGTATCACCTCCTTCCATTGCGCCCGGAGTGGGGGTGACGAAGCTGGTCCTTTGACAATTTGACAACAAGGGGGGGGGAAAACCCGGCCAGGTCAACTCTGACTCTCCGACTCGTTCGGAAGGTCAGGTACCGAGAGGCCTCGGTAATTGCATCGGTTTCGAAGACCCTTTGGGGGTGACTTTATGATACCTTGCCTTACCGACTGAACAATAGCCTATTCTTTAATATTTGAGAAATTCTACGTGCCGCATGTTGGCTGCAGACCGGTCTGCTAAATTAAAAATAACGGTTTGCTGAACTAGAAATCACGTATCATAAAATCGTCCCCTTGCTGTCCTAACATCGAGAGACGACATCTTCAAATACTGCAAATTTCAGGAAAATCCGTTTCCCGTCGACCGCGCCCTCTCCTTGTAAGTTCCGAAAAACAAATTATTGCTTACACGTAGTAGCAAATCTAGCAAAAAAATGTGCGAACATAACGTGTGTCCTAATGTTTACGAACGGCAGTGTACAGTTCTGAATTAGGCACAGGTATGGAAATAGATTGAGCCGAAACGGGAAGAAAATTTCAAAAGTTGATTAAACAGTTTCAGCGAAAGTTGGAAAAAAGCAAAGATACAAACTTGTCGCAAATTTGTTACTGCAACACCAAAAAAGTACCAGAACAGTGTGTGTTTTAAAACAAAGAGTAGACGCAGCTTAAGATTCCTCCGAAGTAACTTGGCCGCCTAAGGGGTTGCAGTAACGAGCACCAAAATGTCTAACGCAAACTATCAGACCAATAATAGTTTCCTAGCCAGGTATTTGGAGGGAGGAAGGGATCAAACGTTGAACAAGATCTCACGAAACTTCGCCACTCTCTCCAAGTTAAATCGAAATTCACCGTTCAGAATGTTGTCCCATTGAATCGTAACGTATTGGTCCCTCTCGGATCTACTCTGCTCGTGCAGAAATCCAACGGCGTGCATCAATTCATGGATCACCGTGCCCTTCCTTGTCACACACCCGGGTACTTGAAGATTCACGTTCTGCCATCCGCCTATTCTTCCCACACTGCTCCAACAACCGCTATTACCGGCAGTGATCCTGATGTAATCGGTTTCCTCGCCGCGGTACGGCTTGAATCGGATACACGTGTACTTATGGTAATCGTTCATTGCTTCGTAAATCAATCCCCGGTGTTCGGCGTCTGTAAAAGCGATTCGTGACCAGTTGCGAAAGTATTTGCCGTTAATTCGTTGTGGGAACGTTGTCTAGCCCCTCGGTTAATTGGTTCGTGCTTAACGGCGATTTGTGCAAGATCAACGAAAGTGGCCAACTTCGACGATTACGCTGAATCGAGCGAGTGTTATCCGACGGGTTTTACTTTCGACGCTGACGTTACATTACAGAGGGTAATTTCAGTGAAACACTTTACGATAAAACTATACCGGGTTGTACTGTTCGCGTATCGTGTGACTGACGATTTTTATTGGAACGGTAGTCTGCGTCAAACTAATCACGCAAATCGACTTGGAGAAGGGAGTTGGGTTTAAAAATGTCTCGAAAAGTTTTACACTTATCATCTAATTAAACTAGTGACATTTTTACAATAAATACAATAAGTATTTCTTAACATGCAATTCATGCAAATTCCTTGGATGGTAAATTATTAGTAAACAAAATTCAATATCAGAGAAAATAAAGAAAAATCTCAAATTAATTTCAATTGCTGGAAGAAAAGTACATATTGATTGTTATGCTGTAACGATTTCAATATCCTATTCGACAAGTCTGAAGAACAACGATGACTAAAATTCAAATGTTTATTTCCCTAAACCTTCAAAATAATTTCGAAATATTTTATTCGAAGCGAAGTATTCCAAGTCAGTATCGATAATTGAAGAAATTATTTGATTGTATTTAAAAGAACCGAAAGGAAAATATTCAATGTCTTATATTAAACGTCTAGCAAGTACCAGTATTTGGTAAAATGATTTATGTTTGTT